GGCACCTGTAGCCCATTTCCTGCACACGCCTGTGCACGGTGGCTCTGGATGTTTCTACTCCAGACTCAGTCCACTGCTTCCGCGGGTCCCCCAAGGTCTGGAATCGGTCCTTCTCCACAATCCTCCTCAGGGTCCGGTCACCTCTTCTCGTTGTGCAGTGTTTTCTGCCACACTTTTCCCTTCCCACAGACTTCCCACTGAGGTGCCTTGATACAGAACTCTGGGAACAGCCTATTAGTTCAGCCATTTCTTTCTGTGTCTTACCCTCTTGCTTGAGGGTGTCAATGATGGCCTTCTGGACAGCAGTCAGGTCGGCAGTCTTACCCATGATTGTGGTTTTGAGTAATGAACAAGGCTGGGAGTTTTTAAAAACCTCAGGAATCTTTTGCAGGTGTTTAGAGTTATGTCGTTGATTCAGATGGTTAGGTTAATAGCTTGTTTAGAGAACCTTTTCATGATATGCTAATTTTTTGGGACAGGCATTTTGGGTTTTCATGAGCTGTATGCCATAATCATCAGTATTAAAACAATTAAAGACCTGAAATATTTCAGTTGGTGTGCAATGAATCTGAAATATATGAAAGTTTCATTTTTATCATTACATAATGGAAAATAATGACCTTTATCACAATATGCTAATTTTTTGAGAAGGACCTGTATATATGTATGTATATTGTATATATATATATATATATATATATATATATATATAATCACTTGTTAGTTTGTTGTTATGTTGCTCCCTTCTTAATGCTCACCACAGCGAGCTAACTTACATGAAAAAAGGTTTGGCTATTGTTTTGATGCCAGATGTGTGTCCTGACGCACCCACCCAGCTACCACAGCCCACTATGTGGAGCAGAGGGCTGCCATCCAAGGCACCCAGGCAGCAGGTGGTGGGGGTTAAGGGCCTTGCACAAGGACCCAAGAAGGAGCAAATGAGGGTGGAGACAGGTGTGGGCATATCTATGTGTGTGGGTGCTTCACCTTTCTAGTGTATGATGCAACAATCTGGGGGAATTGAACCTGAGACCTTTCAATCACAGACTCACCTTCTCTAACCTCTGCTCCACCAGTAATATGCTGAGAAACAATCTCAGCTACTATCACACAACATTTTAGCACTAAATCTGTGAAATTCAGTTAAATACATGTCTGTTTTCTGGGATCAGTTGGCTGTGAGCTCCATGCTGAAGTGTGTTTGCTCTAAAGGTTGTACAGCCAATAATCACACGTTTAACCAAAATCCATTCAGTGTTTAATAAGACAACAAACAGGGGAATCTCCAACTGTAGAGGTAGTTAGAAAAAATGTTTAAAGACGGTCTTTATTTGACCGTTTAGCTTTGGAAATATAAAATAGAATGAGTCTCAGCCACTTTCAAGACCCCATTTTAGCTGAAAACTGACAGAGTAATATCCAGTTTTATTTTTGTAAGGTCATTTGAATCGAGTTGATTCAAAAATTTTTATAATCATAATTATACATACAATAATTACTTTCTGAGAGGTTCATTAAAAATCAGTCCAGGTAATTACTTTGTACGATGTTTTGCTTAAAGAAAAAGTCACACACACAAGTACAAAGTAAATAGTAAAACCAAACTAAACGGAGTCACGATGTGAGAACTTCAAACAAACCCGTTGTTTCAAGTGTCAGGTGTAAAACAGAATATATATTTTTACATCACTGTATTTAAACCATAAATGTTGCTTATTCTGTTGGTGTCTTTTCACAGTGCATGTCTGTATAAATGTTTCATGATTAAACTTTACCTTAAAATTATCTTAGTGGTTATGTAAAAATGAGCAATGGAGTATAAAAAGCATATAAATGTTAACCTAATTTTTTTTTGTTCTTAAATTTTACACATCATGCGAGGCAAAGTTTTAAAAGCTTGTTTTTCTCCAAGTTTAGTACAAAGGTTAATGAAGTCCAGGTCATTGACTTGTTTGAAAAAAACTCTTTATTTAAAGAGGAAGTCAAACAAACTACAGAAATATCCAGTTTTATTTTTAGCTACCTGACCACCAGGTTATCAAAAGACCTTGTGTGTTGTTAAATATGGGTACACAGGTTTAAGACAGGAAACGCTGCTGCGATCACAAAGCTCTTTTGACAGAAATGGATCATTTTGTTGAAGCCAAATGGTTCAAAGTGATTCATACAGTGTCTGAACTATGTCATTTCTTTTAACCGAGTCTTCTTTCTGCTGCTCCCTTCTTCAGGGGTCGCCACATCGAGCTAACTTGCTTTTACTCCAGATGTCCTTCCTGACACAACCACAGACACCGAGCTACCACAGCCCTCTGTGTGGAGCAGAGAGCTGACATGTAGGGTGCTCAGGGGAGCAGATGGTGCGGGTTAAGGGCCTTGCTCAAGGGCCCAGAGTGGGACAAATGAGAGTTGAGGCATGTTTGGGTGCTTCACCTGTCCCACCCACATTTTATGCTGTCTGTCTTGGGAGTCGAACCGGTGACCTTCCAATCACAGGCTCGCCTTTTCTAACCTCTGCACCACCACTCCCCCCTATTTCTTGACAGAGTATTTCTTCAAAGAATGACCCATAAAATGAATAAAGTTAATTATGTTACAATTTGAAAGAAGGCTCCGAAGATCAGAGGATCCTTTTTTTCCATTTGATTATTTTGGTGGGCGGCACGGTGGCTCAGTTGGTAGAGCTGCCGCCTCTTCGTGAGAAGGTCACCAGTTCGAATCCTGGCCAGAGGGCATTTCTGGGTGGAGTTTGCATGTTCTCTCCGTGCATGTGTGAGTTTCCTCCCACAGACCAAAAACATGCATGTTAGACTGATTGGACTCTAAATTGTCTCTAGGTGTGAGTGAGAGAGTGAATGGTTGGCTCATTTGTCTCCATGTGTCTTTGTGATGGACTGGAGACCTGTCCAGGGTGTCCCCGCCCCTCACACAGTGACTGCTGGACATCGACACCGTGACATCGCGACCCGAGAAGGAAGAAGAGTGCAAAGATTTTTTTTAATTCAACTTTTATTTACACAGGTTTTAGTCTTATTGAGTCACGAGGACGCATTTACAATAGAGACCTGTAAATATTCTATTCAATTCAAAAATACTTTATTAAATATAATATATAATTTATAACATAATATATATATATAGATGTACAGTATATGGCAGGATGGATGGATTATTTTGGTGTCAGGTTTGTGATTTTGGTTACGTGCTGGTGGTCGTTTTGTGTTTATTGTTGGGTTTATTTTCTGTGTTTCTTATGTTTAGTCCTCTTCCATCTGTACCACTTCATTTTTCCTCAGTTTCTCCTCCTCAGCTCTCGCCTCACCCCTCTCACCTGTTCCTTGTTGTCATTTTATCCAGGTCTCACCACTCCACTCATCAGCCGTTGTCTTTAAAGTCCTCCAGTTTGCACGTCGCAGTCAGTCTGTTCGTCTCATCTGTGTTTCCTCGGTGCAGTAACTTGCCGTCACGTCAGACTTTTTTTCTTTAAATAAATTCCTTAGTTCTTTTTTAAGCTCCTCGTGTCTTTCAAATTTCTCCTCACACTCTGATAATCGGCTGTAAAAAACGTTTTTGCATTGGTCTTTGTGTGTTTTTTGGTTGTCTGCATGGTTAGCAAAAACTCTCACTAACTAATGTGCAGACTTGAATGACGCTCACAGAAAGTAACAACTGGACATACAGCTAGAGCTGAATTAACTTTTGCAGTCATCAGTTCAAGACGACCTCCACAGCTAATCAACATTAGTGAATAATATATTTAATGACTCTAACGCAGTTAATTGTGTAAATATTGGGCTAAGTTTCAGAGAAAAGCATCTGAGTCGTTCCTAAAACTCTTCCTGCTCTAAGAGATCATGTAAGATCTCACCATGTCACATGAGACTGACTTAAGGTTCTTTACAAGGGTTTCCCCAAATAGCTACAACTTTATGGTTTCTCATCATAAGATAAATTTAGTCTATGATTCTGGCCTGAAGATACATTCCATCAACTAATGCTGGGTCCTTAATATTTGGCTTACGTGGCTTTATTTTTCATGTTGCTTCCCAAAAGTCATTGTGCTTATTTTGAAGCAACTAATGGGGATTATGAAACATTTTAATTCATGTGACTTTTACCTTTTGATTCTTTTTCCTTTAACTTCCATTTTTTCATCAAAAGGTCTTGGTTTCGTCTTTGGCTGTTGTAAATAAATATATTCTCAATAAATTGCTTGATGAAACAAAAAAAAACGTACAAAAATCACTTTAGTCCTGTCTGTTGGTTGCAACCAGGACTGCATGTTTTTACTGACGGGGGGGGGGGGGGGGGTAATGCGATGACTGTGGAGTAAGATTTTAAAATAACTCTTCTCAGTGCAGGCAGAGATACTGTATCTTGAAGGTGTACCTGACTGCTCATAGAAGGCTAACTCTGCCAAACCACAAGATAAATCCTCTGTACCACGTCCAACACCACCGACTGCTGCGCAGCATTCACGCCTGCGTTAACCACACAAGGAAACAGAAGGCATTCTCTTTTTGAGGGAAACGGATAAATCCATTTGTGTCCCAGAAAGAGTATGTTCTTGATCTTCACTGTTCATGTTTGTTTGAGGAACCACCTGGAAAGCAGAATGTGTGGCTTAGACACATTGTCAGGGATGAACCCAGGATGGGTGTTTCAGGTCTTCAGTGATGATCAGTCCCTTGTTTGTGTCCAAACGATGCACCACACCATGAGTTGCCCCTCTTAACCCACAACCACACTGAGGCTTTTTCCTGCAGCTTCCCTGATGTTCTTTGTGGCTTTCCTCTCAATCAACCTTCTCCTTCACAGCAACCTGAGTTCAGAGCCTGGCTGGTCCTGAGTGATGTTGTGGTGGAAACTTCAGCTGCCTCCCAAGGTCTACATCAGCTGCCAGTCCCAAAGTGAGGCCAGCAGACCATTGGACCTTGTCCGTGTCGTGTTGTTTTTGTTTTTTTTGTTTTTTTTGCCAGCCTTGCCAAAGACCATGTTACTCTGAGCAGTGGGTTGCTTCTTGCTTTGGTTCTTTTACTAATAGTGTGTCAGCTACAGCGCCATCTGTCCCCCATTCTCCCAGGATTTTAGGGCAACACAATGTGCTTTAAGAACCCTATTGAGGGATATAGTGTGCAAATGTTTGAAATCTGAGTTCAACCCCCCAGCTGTGCAGGTTGGATGAATTGGGAGAACACTGCATAGATTGGACCAGAAATTCAAGTCTCGCTGGTTCTTACTTCCAAAGTCCTGTCCAGTGTAAACTTTTGGGTCAAGACTTGCTTCCTGTTCAACCTAGTTTAGAAGCTACACCTTCTCGGATATTCGTCAGCAAAACTCTTTTGTCTTGAAAGCCTTGCAGTCGTAGCTGCAATGGTCAAGCATCTAAATCTGGGCGTGCACTTTCAGGCCAGTCTGAGCACAAGCTCTCTGGACATGAACTGTGACTTTTTGTGTCAGGACAAAACACTTACCCCGATAGATGTAACGTTTAAAAAGAGATATTTTGCAACAAGTTCGTGGGGATTAAATAGAAAATAATCTCTCAAAATACCAAAATGCAAAAAATAGAGAAGACAATGTCAAAATGTGCACCTACATTTTTACCTTACACTTTTGTTTCTTTTAGCAAACATGGTTTTGTGGAGGATCCCTTTGTACCACACAGTCAGATGGACTGTCTGTGTGTACACTTCTCTATTGTGTGTCCGCAGACGGCCTTTTGTTCTGGTTGTGTGGGCTGCGCAGGAAGATCCAGACAGCTGAGAGCAACCTAATCCAGAAGGCTGCCTGAGGCTGATCATCCAGAAATGATACGAGGCGAGGCCTGCTTACTGGACCATAAAACACCAACTACTCCAACAAGTTCACTCCTCAGCTGAATTTAATCTATTTATAAAAACTCTGAAAGATGAAGTCAGTGAGTTTTCTGTGTTTTGCTATTTTTCTGCGCAACAGTGTAAACTCGGTGTGAACTTGTCCCCTGCCAGGAACAATGATTGGGATCAGTTTTTCAGTTTTCTGTTCTGACGTTTACTTTATGTTTATTTCTTACAGTGTTTGGTTTTTATATTTTCTTTGTTTTCAGTTTGTTCATTTAGTAACTTGTCGTGTTTCTCTCATTTTCAGATGTTTTCCAGTTAGTCTCTGCTCCTTCAGTCTGCCACCTCCATCCACCTGCTCCCCGTGCACCTTCTTCTTCTTCTTTGGTTTTTAATGGCAGCTTGCATACATCAATGTTGCACGACTGCCATCTCTTGAATTTTATAAATTAATACATTTTATAAATTAATTCCTCAGATTTTCTTATTGAGTCCAGTATTATTCAAAAAACAAAATACATTTCTTTTCCTGTCATCGCTATTCATATGAGCAACCACATTTTCAAAGGTCAGGTCCCTATTACAACCCATTTCCACTCTCAGTAATTATCTTTGACCCGCATATTTCCTGCAACTAATAACAACATGTTCTATTGTTTCTGTGGTATTACACCCATTACATAAACCAGTTTCCCCATCTTAAAGAGTGCCATTCAAAAAACTATGATCAGTTCTTACTCTATTTATAATAATCTCCTCCCTCCTATTTATTCCTCTAATTCTTTTAACATAAACTGTATTTTGTATCCTATATTATTATTATCTCATCATCCCATCTTGTTTTCCATAATTTCTTTGCTGTCTTTTTCAGATTTAGATAACTTTACTGGCATAACAAAATCTACTTTTTTAACAGCTTCTTTTGCCAACCTATCTGCTCTTTCGTTATAAAATACCTACATGAGCAGGAGTCCACATTATTATTTTATTTTTGTTTTGTTCACATATTCTATGATGAACAAAAAGAATCTCATACAAAATGTTTTGGTGATTATACTTGAACTTCCCTTTTCAATGGTTACCAATTCTGATAATGAATCACTGCAAACTATAATTTTACTTAACAAAAAAGGTTGAATCATGTCATCTGGACTTCGTTTTTTTGTTAAAAAGAAACGTTTCGCCCCTCATCCAAGAGGCTTCGTCAGTCTGAGGCCTAGCCATCTGGTATTACCCAGAAGCCACCCTGGCTTGTTCTACCATCCTCCACCCATTCTAAAGCCAATAATATAGCACACAATTCTACTATATATATATATACTCAAAAAAATTAGATGTTCTTTTTAAAGCTTAATCTTTAATTCAGGAATCACTACTGCTAGACTAGTTGCTTCGGTTTTGGGATCTTTCAAACCGTCTGTATACATTTGTAAATAATCATTGTACTTATTCTCTACTCGATCATAAAATTCTTGACAAATATCTGTAGTATTTCTTTTCTCAATACTTTCTTATTTTACATTAATGTTGCCTGTGCACCTGTCACATCAGCTCCAGTCCTTCTAGCCTTTCTGTTTTCATTCACTCCTCATAGGAGCATTGCATGGGCTGGCCAGGTCCCTTGTGCTCCTCCAGTCTCCTAGTGTTTCCCAGATTTGGATCCCTAATGGCTTTTTGTAAGCGTTCGCTGCTCTGACAGCTTTCTGTTTTGTTTGATAATGAAATCAAGTTTTAGTTGAGCTCCTTCTGCATTCCTGGGCTCTCAAGTTAATTTTCCCTCAAGATAAAATAAAGATCTTGAGAATGGAAGCGATAAATGTTGTGTGACTGATGTAAGGTTTTGTTAGTCCTCTTAAAATAAAACTTTTAAGTCCTTCCTTCTTAAAAGGAAAAATGACAGGTGCCACATTTTATGCAAGCTGAATATATCGATATTCTGAATGAAAAACAGCTTTGATTCTTTGTAGATTCAACAATGTCTGAATCTTAAAGTCATACACAAATCTTGTTCGAAGAGTTTGTGAATCTTCTTGAGACCACGTGACTTCCAGAGCACTTCCTGGATGAAGGATGAATCTCTCCTGACGTGTCTTGTTTGTGAAGGCAGCAGCTTTGTGGTTTAATCCTGTAGTTTGCAGGTTTTACCTGCATCTGCTGAATCCAGGCCTTCTTAAATAAAGCACTACTACTTTTTCTTTTTTTTTATTTGTAAACCACATTTATTCCGTGACGTTCTTGGGGTAAAGAATAATTATAATTTAGTTCACACGCGAAATGAGCTGCGTGTGAAGTTGCGGTGTCCCACACCTCCGTGTTGTTGTGTACCACGCAGCCTCCACGGTGCGGTCAGCCTCCGATCACGCAGCGAGGCGCTCTCCCATTGGTCAGGACCTCAGCACACCTTGGCGGCTCATTGGACGCAGCATTAGGCCACGCCCCCGATTCCTTCTGTTCCAAACGATGAATGAGGAGCAGGTCAGGGAGAAGTCTGGTAAACTTTGTTTGTCCCCGTCACTGAGCAGCTGATGAGTTAATGAAGCTGTAAGTAACTTTTTACTCTACTGAACACACACTTCAAACTACATTTGTGTCTGAGTGGTAACTCTTGTCTGATGTTATTCAGGTTTTTGCAACGTTATTAATGTTTGCTCCAGGGTACTTGCTTCATAGATGATTGTCTCTGTGGTGGTTTTTACCAGACAGTTCTCTGTCATGTCTGGTTGAGAAAGTAGGTGAAAGGTGAAAAGCAGAGCGCGACCTGATCAGGCTGGTTTCACGTGCTCCTTCCAGGTTTAAAAACAACAACAACAACAAAAAAAAAACAATCAGGCTTCAAACTTATAATGATATAAAAGCAGATAGTCAACACAACAAGATACAAACCTTTACAGGAAGTTGTTATGTAAAGTTTCCACAATTATAAAATTACATTGTGTTGAGGATAACCCTCAGCTACTACCACACCAAACTGTAACCCAACATCTGTATAAATGACTGAGTTCAGCCCATTTGGTGTTAGTTATGGCGGCCGTCTTGAATAGACTCCAAGCTGTACCTGTGCGTCTAATAATTCCTGACCGTTTCACTTAAATCTCTGGTGGTTTATGGGATATTTTGCTAACAGACAAACAAGATGGATGCCAATAGTTAATGTCAAGTTTTTAAGTAAAGATGTGCAATGTGAAGTGTTCAAAGTGGGTGTTGGGGATCATGCTCAGCTACCACCACACCAAGTTTTATATTAATATCTGTTAGGCCTGTCGTGATAAACAATAAGTCAATTAATCGCATGATAAAGGAAAACTATCTACCTCATTTTCATTTATCGGCTTTATCGTTTCTTCGTCTCTCTTTCTACTGAAGACACTGGAAGACAAAAGGGTCAACTCCGGTGCTCTTCACTGACCCCTCCATTTCTCGTTCCTCTTTAAAATCTGCTTTAACGATACAAAATCACATTCTTGGATCGTTAAAAGCAGCTAAGCTGAGAAGCTAAGCTACGAGCTAAGCTAACAGGCCGACCTCGGGAAAAAACCTCCCGTCTTGTCGAAGCTCCAAAATTCACGGTTGGAACTCGTGCCTTCGTGTAAAAAGTTGTTTTTTCCTGCAAAAAGAAGCTGAGAACTTGTTTACTGATTTTTTTAATTAAAAGTTTTGTGTGAAAAATGCTATGCTAAAGAGCTCAAACCACACGACCGTCCACCATTTTTAGAACCGAAGAGAGACGGCCCAGGTCACGTCAAGGGGCCTCCCTCCTATTTTTATTAGAGACACGCTGCTCGCTCCCTCACTATCCATCTTTCGATTCAGTCTTATACTGCCATCCAGTGGTCGAAAAAAATGTACTACATGCAAAACAAATTAACCAATATTTGTTCTTAAATTTAACAATAATTACTAATTATTGTCAAATTTCAAACAGTATTATCGTTTATCACAATAATTTCTGAGACAATTAATCGCCCAGAAAAATTTGTTATCGTGACAGGCCTAATATTTGTAATAATAAAAAAATAAGTTAAATCAATTTTTGTATTTGCTATAATCAATTAGTTGTAACCTCCATCTTGAATTGGGTTGTACAAGTACAACCAGTGGTTACTTTTGATAAGTTTAATAGATATCCATCCATTTGCTCATAAGGTATGCAACAAAAAGACACACGGAGCTTTTTTTTTTTATTGACCCTTTACTTATACAGGTAGTCTCATTTTCAAGAACTCAGTTTCAAGAGAGACCTGTTTAGGGAGCAGATGGTGGGGGTTAAGGGCCTTGCTCATGGGCCCAGGGTGGGGCAGGTGTGGGTGTTTCACCTACCTTTTAATGTTGACAGTACTGGGAGTTGAACCTGCGACTTTCCGACCACAGGCCCATCTTCTAACCTCTGCACCACCACTCCCCAGAGCTGGCTGTAATGACAAAAGATTTAAAACAGATCTTCAGCTAATGCTCAGAATGTATATTATGGATGATGCTCAGCTACCACCACACCAGATTTTAGCTCTATATCTTTAACATCTGCTGAACTTTAGCCATTTTTGTATTTGCTGTGTTTCCTAGCTGCGGTGGCCTTTTTATGATTTTACTTAAAACTGTTTGCAAGTTCATAAGATATTTTGCTAATATACCAAACAAACACACACACACACACACGGGGCAAACATTTTATCAACAAGTAGTAAATTCTTCGTCTGGTGTTGTCCAGGTCTGCAGCATGAAAGCTGAAGAGCAGAACTCAGGCACAAGGTCAAAGATCCAGAGTGAAACCCGGCCGGCTCCTTTTCTGGGTGCAGGTGACCTGAAGGCTGCAGAGGATCTGATGTCCATGACTAACCCCTGGAATACAAGGGACTTCAGGGAAAGACACATGAGACCCCTGACTCCCAACTCGGAGAGCTCAGAGGACGACTCTGTCCCCGCTGGTCTGTCTGGGCTGCATAACCCTTCGTTTGTAAGTGAATCGTTCAGACTGAACCTGAAAGATTTAGTTTATTTTAAGTAGCGACATGATCTGGCAGGGCCGGATTTAAGAGGGTCTGGACCCCTGGGCTTGAGCTACTTCTGGGGCCCTATCCACATAATTAGTGTTTCTTTAAGCATCAAAATGACATCACTGAACAAGTTGTCGTTAACTTCAGTTTCTAGTCAGGGCAGAGCTGCTCTTAGCTGTAATGTGTAAAAAACATTTTATCAGCCCATCCAACAGCTATCAGAGTGAAATTGTGAAAAGTTTAAGAAAGTATAATTTTAATGGACCAAATCATTTTAAAGTGCCACGGCAAGGAGAGAGAGAAAAGGTCAAGACAAAATATATCAGTGAGCCGAACAGAAGGCAGCGCTGCAGTAAACTTTATAAAGCCGCATGAACACTTTAGCTAAATGTCTCGGAATTACGAGTCAAGTAAATCGAAATTACAGAGTTTTGTTTTAAAACAAAAATAAAATCCTAGAGAACTGCAGAACAACTTTATGAAAAAAAAATAATATTTTTTTCATTTTGTCCGAGTTGTCAGGCCTCTAACGATTGATTGTTATGTACTGATGATCGATTGCTAGATTAATGGTCCCCTTTTACATGTGGAAAAACTAGTTTCTGGAATTCCACTGCAGACTGGTTTGAACCACTTTGAAAAGGTGCTATTTATACAACGTTGATTATTTAACTGAGCTGAAGTGTTCAAAACACCATATTTTGGCATGACTGCCTCAGAGGAGTTGACGGGGGAGAAGGCAGGCCCCAGAAACCATCTTATCTCCAGCAAACTCTTTTATTTTCCATTATGGAAGTGTGGTATTTGTGGGACTCCAGTTTGTTTGTGGCTCCTCGGACTGAAGAAGTCCTTTGGATGAAGGATGAAACATCTCAGCAACAAAAAGAAACCGTCCAGATGACCTGACTGGACATTGCTGGGTTAGGCTGATGGTCCTCCTTTTACAATGAACAAAACTAGTTCTGGCTGTCTGCAGCAAACTGGTTGATCCACTATGAGAAGGTGCTGCTTATGAGACTGAATGTTGCAGCTCCTCAGACTGAAGAAGTCCTTTGGATGAAGGACGAAACATCTCAGCAACGAAAAGAAACCGTCCAGATGACCTGACTCGACCTTGTTAGATTCATCTACCTGAATTCTTGAGCATTCATCAGGACATGAAATAAAAGCTTAAATTGACAATGCTAAAGCTAAAATTTAGCAAAAAATTAAAAGTAAAAATGAGCATATGTATAAAGAAAAGATTAAAAACTCTAGCGCTCCTCTGAACCTTTGGCTAAAACAGGTTAATGCCCCAGCACCCCCGTCGTCTGGCCTCGTTTCTCAGAGCGAGTCTCAGTCTGTGGTTTTGACATTAAAGGAAGCGTTCATGCTTTATCACGACAACAAGTTTCTCAGACAACATCTGATTGTGTCTTTACTTTCAGTGCATGACCCCGCCATACAGCCCGCCCCACACTGAAGTCGCTCGCCGCTCTGCTGGTTCCCACACACACCAGTACACCAGTGTGATCCGCCACACTGCTGACTGGAACCGTTCTCAGTTCCTGCAGGAGGACCGGATGACCAGGGTTCTTACAGAGGACCCAGAAACCCATCTGAACTGCTGCATTCAAGACACCGAAGAGACTGTTGTAATACAGGAAACTTCTTCTGAAGCACATTTTGCAGCCATGGCCGAGTTTGGACCGGATGATAAATCAAACACAGCTCGAGTTGCTCTGCAGCCTGCTGACGACAGGGTTGCTCCTGCAGGCCCAGCTGGGGTGCAGAAACCTGTCGCCACCTTTCTGCCCGTCCCCTTAGCATTCACCAACACGCACGTTCCACAACAAGCCCTTAAACAAGAGCATGCACCACCACAAGCTCCGGTGTTCCTCGTGGGGGGTCGGGTGGTGAGGGGTCCTGTAATGCTCCTGGTCCCTCAACTATCTGTTCCAACCATCATTGTTCAGCAAACGGCGGCGACCTCTGCTGGCACCAAGTTTGCACCCATCGCCCCCGCTCCTGGACATGTCGCCTCAGTGCAGAGACAAACCCCTCTGCAAACAGAAGCGTCACGTGCACGCAGCCACGTGTGTCCCCATGAGGACTGCTCCAAGACCTACTTCAAGAGCTCCCATCTCAAGGCCCACATGAGGACACACACAGGTAAGAGACGAGGGGATGGACTGCTGCAGAAAGGTGTCATCCTTCTTCAAAATGCAAACTATATTGCTTGTCTGTTAGCAAAATATCTCATGAGCCACTGGACAGATTTTGATGAAACTTGTAGAAAGTAATCTTGGGATTTATGTCTACAAAGGATTACATTTTGGAGTCAACCCATTTTAAGATGGCCGCCACAGCCAGCATTAGCTAACACAACAGTGGCTGCAGCTCAGTTTGTTTTACAGATACTGAGGTACAATTTAAAGTGGTAGTAGCTGAAATTCATTCCCAGCACATGCCCTGAGCACTACACAATGTGCACATTTCTGCCTAAAACTTTGGCATTAACCGTTGGTGTCAGTCGTGTCTGTTAGCACATCCTGCACGCCCACTTCAGCTGGCTAAAGCAAACATGACATTAAAAGAAGTGCGTTTGTAAAGTTTTTTAGCTAGAGAGATTGCATTTCTTGCAGAAATGCAGACTGAATGCTTATTGCTGAAGATCTTGCTGAAAAACAGCTGAAATTAGCTAAAAACATGCTGAAATGTAGCTGAAATGGAAGAACAAGCCTAAGTTGGCAGAAGAAAGCAGACAGAACACATATTTGTTGAATTTGGTTTAAATAAGCAGAAATGAGCACAAAAAATAGTAAATTTGCTCAAAAAGCTGAAATTAGAAGAAAAAAAAAAGCTGAAAAGTAGCTGAAAAGGCAGAAAGACGCTTAAATCACCAGAAAGAAGGGGAGAGAGCACATTTTTGCTGAACTAGGCTGAAGAAAGTTTAAATGCGTTCAAAAAATGTGGGATAAGCTGAAAAAGCTAAAATTAGCATAAAACAACTAAATAGTAGCTGAAATAACCGAAATTGTTGAAACTGGCAGAAATAAGCTGAAAGGAGTGTAACAAGCTGAAATTAGCAGAAAGAAGAAGCACATGAATGTTGCAGTTAGCAGTAGCAGTAAGTTGTGCAAAACAGCTGAAAAAAACAGCTGAAATTAGCTGAAAGTAACTGAAAAAAGCTTAAATTTGCACGAGGAAGCTGAAAGAAGCTGAAGCAGATGAAAGGAGCAGTAAAAAGTTGTAAACAGATTAGGGATGCACCGATCCACATTTTTTAAACTTCCGATCCGATCCTGATACCTAAATCATGATATCTGCCGATCCAGTTCCGATATCATGATCATCATTGATTTTATATGAGGCTGTAATAATCTCCTCTCAAGTACAATTTGTACAAATATATATATGCATGTCAAAAAAGGCAACTTGAGGTAAGTTTTATTAATGTTGGATAAGTTTTAAAGTTAGAATTAAATTCTGCTAACACAAAACATGTTTCTTTTTATTCCTAGTTTTTAAGTGGATATTAAAGTGATTAATTTAAGTGATTATTTGTTTAAAGTTTTTTTTTTTTTAAATAAGGGGCAGATATAATAATCTTTTTCTTCTTTCTGCACTTTTTTCATTCGTTTTTTTTTTTTTTTTGATGGTTTTTCTTTTAAATGAGTGAATTAAATTAAAATAAATAAATGGCTTTAAACATCTAATAAGTTCATGGCATAAACAAACACAGACATGTTCCTGTTTTTAGTATTTTACATTGATTTATAATGTAGCTGTTTTTTTTTATTTTTTTTTTAAATATATATAATTTTCTTGTATTTTTCAAATCATGTATTTTTTATTTTTATTTTTTTATGATTGTCTACTGTTGTACTGATAAATATCTCCTGCAGGGTAAACTATATCTTGGCTGCAAGTATCAAGCTGTGAAATCCTTCGTTTTCTACAACTGATAGTGGTTGGTCATTAATTACAATCAAGTTTAGCAACTTCTCTGTAAACATTTGAGCTCCGTGGCTTCAGTGATGTCTTCTTCTTGTTACATCCAAAGCAGGTGGTCTGATTTCGGTCAGCCGCGCTCAGTCTGTCCCTCCTCAGAGACACGCAGACTGAGCGCAGCTGGCCGGGGTCAGGCTGCCTGCCTCGGGTTGAGTGAGAGGAGTGAACCGCTGAAGCCACGGAGCTCGAATGTCCAACGTAAAACTAACTTCACCGCGGTTTAATGTGGCGCTATGGCTCTGCAGACATTGCATGTTGCTGTCTTGTTTTGTGGTGTTTCTAGTGTAAAATACTTCCACACAGTGGACATGTTTAGATGAAAAGTTGGTTAGCAGTTAGCCACAGTGCTGCTGCACGTTGTAGCTGGCTGCAAACTATGAAATGGATTTCCTGAATGTGAGGCGGGTCTTATTACTCTGGGTCCATGAGACACGCCTCCGTTCAGGAAATCCATTCCATAGTTTGAAGCCAACGTGCAGAGCAGCTGGCAGGGAATCACATGTGGAGATGTTTCAACAGACACAGACATGCATCATGGATCAGAAATCTCTGCAGGTTGAATCAGAAAAATCAGATACATAAATTATGCTGGTATTGGAGGCCGATACCAATACCAGACCGGCTCCATCACTAAAACAGATCTAAAGATTTCAAGGTGACTCTTCATTAACACTCACACAGTTAAATAAAACCCTCAGGTTTGATGAACCAGAGTCTGAACTTCATCGCTGTGTGTCCAACAGGTGAGAAGCCCTTCAGGTGTAAATGGGAGGGCTGTGGGAGGAGCTTCGCTCGCTCCGATGAGCTGTCTCGACACCGGCGAACCCACACAGGAGAGAAAAGGTTTGCCTGCCCGCTGTGCTTCAGCCGCTTCATGCGCAGCGACCACCTGGCCAAGCACGCCCGACGACACTTCGCCATGAGGAAGAAGTCCTGCTGGATGTTGGGGATCAGCCCGTCACACCTCACATCTACAGCAGGAAGGCTTCCATCACAAACTCTGACCATACACAAACTCTGACATCAAACCTTTTCCTCACTGAATTTGCACAGAACGTTTTTTTTTTAATTGTTTACTGCTGAAAACTGAAGGTGAATGAAAATGATTTATGTCCGTTACCAGAACATCTCCTAAACCACTGGACATACTGAAACTTGCAGAAAGTAATTAGTGAACGTACATCTACAGATGAATAACTTTTAATCAACCCAATTCAAGATGGCTGCCACAGCAGTCTGACCAGAAAAACACAAACATATAATTCAGTCTTGTTTGGTGTGGTAGTAGCCGAGTCAGTGACAATACTTCTCATTGCAAATGATCTTTGCTTTAAAAAACAAAAACCTTAGGATTAACTGGTGGAGTGAACCCAGTTAGCAAAATATCTCATGAACCACTGGATGGATTTTAATGAGACTTTTACTCACTGGATGTACATGAACAGATCAAGTATTGGATTCAAGATGGCCGTCATACCCTGCGTGAGACTTAATTTCATGTTATTTTCTAGGACTGAGCCACAACTCCCACTTCTCAACGTGACGATCTTTAACATCGAGGCAGGAAGGAGGCGGGCGACATGCATTCCTCCTTCCAGAAGCGTTGGGTTTTAATATCGGCAGACGTGCAGTGATGCCTCACCAACTGTAGAGACCTCGACTTGTTTTTGTTTTAACCAAAGAAAGTTTGTCATTTGAAAATCTTCAAAAACAGTTTTTGCACAACTTTTATTTCTATTGAAGTGTTACTGTTATGGTCGTTACAATAATCAAACATTTGTCCTGATCATTGCTTTGACGCCGTTTCATCCATTTACTTTAGAGAGATTTATTCATTTTGTTCTTTCAAGTTCTCCAAACCTCCTCTGTCCTGTTTGCATCAAAATCAGGTCTTCGTTCTATAAGGCTGATCGGTTCTGTGACTTTATGTGCAACATTAAAGTTATTTGAAAATAAAATGCTGTGGTTTTCTCTCAAGTCAATAAGGTTTTTATTATTGTTCATTATGACACAGCAACAACTTGAAGCAGGCCTGATCATTTATTGTTCTCAGGACACAGCACAGATACAACACATGCTGTGCAAATAGATCTGCAGTCACAAAATCAAGTCCAATTCCTTCGACATGATGAAATACATACAGAACACTACTACTGTCAACTTTCTTGTGTAACTGCCCTTTAAATAAATCCCATTTTCTGTCAGCGGGTCCAGTAACCATCAGCACGTTCCCTGTTCCACCTGCAACACATGCGTCTAATAGTTCTGCTTTAGTATCTGGTGGCACAGCTGTCAGCGCTGTGAACATTAGCCTCGTTTAGATTTCTCGTTTCTGCTTTAAATGCTTCAGAGGAGTCAAAGACAGAAATGACCTCAGTAAATGCAAAATGCCGTTTTCAAAGAATGATCAACTTATTAAAGGAAAAATAAATATTATCCAAACCAAGCAGGCACTCTGTAAAAATAAAAATAGTCCCATTGTGTGACATTAACTGTTCTATGTTTTTTTTTAGTTATGTTCAGTGTTACTGCCACAATGATTACCTGATTACAGTCAGACCTGCAGATCCAATAAATCATGCAAGTTAACTGCAGAGGAAACAAAGAACTGTGGTGAACCTTCAGGAGTGGACGACTGAATCACTCCCAGAGCTCCTCAACCCAGGAGGTCCCAAAAGCCCCAGATCATCTAAAGCCCTGCTGGCCTTCGTTAGGGTCAACAATAGGAAAGAAACAAAAATGGCCTCCAGTAGAAAGTTTCAAGGCAGAAAGAACTTTGTGTAACTAGTGTGGACTGAGGAGACTCTCGTGCAGCTCTGTGGAAGGTGTGCGTCCCATTCCATCTGGTGTAAAAACCAACGCTGCAGTTCAGAGAACATCAAACCGTTCAACACGGTGGTGCAGCGTGATGGTCTGGGGCTGCTTCAGGAAGAGTTGCTGTAACTTGTGGAACCATGGACTCTGCTCTACCAGAACATTCTGAAGGACGATGTCAGAACATCTGGATCGAGCTCACTTGGTTCTGCAGGACGATGATCTGATCTCATTCCTCACCACCGGGTGGAACCCTCACTGCCAGCTACCACAGATGTTTGATTACAGATGTTCATGTCAAAGTGGAGCATTTATTAGATTTAGGGGCAGTTACTTTTCCACACAGGACCACGGTGGTTTCTCCTAATAAATACAATCCTTTACAAACTGCATTTTGTTTTTACTCTGGTTATCTCTGTCTGATGTTATTTGAGGGAGAAACAAGAATTGTGTAAGAACATGTTCTCAGCGCTGTTCCTGCTGGCCCATCACTTGATTCAGCACTTTAGGAAAACACTAAAACACCAGTTGACTGGTGAACACCCAACACTTTGCTTTCTAACCACACCAGTGGCCGACTGTACTTTCCTGGAATGAGCGGATGTGGTGACACAACCAGTTTTAGTTTTGTGTTCCATTTAAAAACACTAAAATATAAGAACAGATTTTATGAGTAATCATGGAACTGAGCTCTTGTATTAGATAATAAATTATCCAACAAATAAAATATAAATACATGTAGCAAAGCTCCACAAAACATCTCAAACTTGTGTTTCAGTATAAATCTTACTTTAGAGACCGGAACAACACAATATACATGATACATATAACCACTTGCCTAATGACGTGACTCGTGTATTTTCTGTGAATTTGTGTGTATTTTCTGGTCTCATGCACTTTGTTAGATTCAGTTTGACCTTTGCTGTGCTTTTCCACGTGCAATCACGTGTTACACACTGTGTCTGGTCCCAGAAAGTTCCAGCGTTAATCTAGACTATGGGTTGAGTTCATCCCAGTGAAGTGAATATTAGAGGGTGCTAGCAGCATAAACCAGGACGAGACGTGAAAAGCTTTAGCTGTTTGCTAAGCTGGAACAGACAGAGCAGCCTCTGTTTGACAGGAACTAAGACAGTAAGGGATGACTGAGAAGTTCTTCAGTGTATTCTCCTGGGTGCCACCAGACTCCTGCATTTCAAACCTACAGGAGGAAAGCAAAACCTCTTAAAATCCCATTTGTTTCCATCAAAACGTGCATTCATCAGAGAGATACTTGCCAGTCTCTAGAAGATATGGTGTAGTAGACGGGTGGTGGTGTTGAGTCATCGGAGGTGAGGAGTGGCTGGCCCAGGCTGTAGGCCCCCGCCTGTGTGAACAGCAGCCAGTCTCCTACACTGAGCTCAGGGAGCACACAGTGCTCCACCACCTGGTCCAGGTCGTCCCCAGAGGGACCCCAGAGGCTGCTGCTGAACACCGCAGCATCCACAGACAGTTTCTGCGTGAAGCGTAGTAAAGATGGTCCTTCTTAAAAAGGCTGTTTAAATGAAGAGAAAGAAATGTTTTACTGTGACTCACCTTGTAAGCAGACGGGGCTGTGATTAGAGCTCCACACAGTTTGCTGGAGAATGAGCCATAAACGCCCTCATTCATGTAGTACTGAAACTCAGGCTCCTCGTTGGGGGACAGCTCGTCTGTTCAAGGATGGGACACACACGTTTGTACTCTTCATTTACTGTCCGACATGCAAACACTTTTAAAAGTCTAAATACAAGTGGTAAACCCCAATAAGGAAAAAAGTTGGGATGTATTTTAAGATGTAAGCAAAAACTAAATGCAATCTTTTGATATTATGAACTGTAGATGATGCAATTTTCTAAATCTGTTGAGGAATGTTTTTATAAATAGCTCCACTATTTTTAGACACTCTTTCGCAGACAGCTGAACCTCTGCCCATCTTTACTTCTGACAGACTCAGTCTCTCTAAAATGATCTTTCTGTACCCGTCCTCTTACAGACCTGTTGGAAATGAACACAACTCCAATTGTTTTATTTTGATTTGTATCACTTTTACAGCTTTTTGTCGCTGTCCTCTTTTTTTTTTTTAAACATGTGTTGGCTCCATAAAATTCTAAATGATTTTATTAAAAAGCTAAATACAAGCAAATAAAAAAGGAACATCTTAGTTTAAACATTTTATACGTTTACTGTGAATAAAATATGTGTTTATGAGCTTTTCAAATCATTGCATTCTGTTTTATTTACATTTTATACAACGCTCCAATTCTTTCTTATTTTAATCGTGGTTGTACATTTAAATAACTTTAAGCATGTCACTGACCAGGGTCCAGGTCCTGGCAGTCACGAGCTACCACCTCTTTCGAGACGATGTTGACAGCCAGGGTGAAAGCAGACGACACAAAGAAGCTGCCAGGTTCAGCAATGGTGGAAACGCCAGTGGAAGAAGGAAAGTATAAATCCACCATGGACATGACCGCCCTGTTAATCTGAAGATGACAAAGACTTGTTAAACTTTTGACTAATAAAATGGAATTCTTAGAAACGTTTTACTTGGTGACATGACAGGTTATATGCAGGACTGCGCACTCTTCAAACTGAATCTTTCCTCAGTAAGAAGAGCAGATGAGGAGATACTGACCATCTCCAGCTGACTCTCAGAACCACTGAATCCACCTCCGAGGTCCAAAATGTTCATGCTGAAGCCAATTTCCTCCTGCAAAAATCAATAAATAAAAGATTCAGAGGTACCGCCTATTATATGGAGCTGACACTTTTTATATTCAAAGGGACGTTTTGGTCATTTTAGTTGGGGTTCTGTAGAAAACTTACAATTAATATCTTATGTGTTGTAGATAGCTTTCTGAACAGCCTCAGTTTGGAAATACACAGCTCAAGTCTGACAGGTCAGCCACTCTGAACAGCACCGTGATCGCTGCCGTAACAAACGAGCCATCTCCAAAGAGTCTGTGCTGGTCCATGTAAACAATTATATAAACCTTTACGGTGATGTCGATGTTGCATTATGTGCTTATTTACATCAAACTCTATGACTTATTGCAAGTGCAGATAGGTGCAGCAGCAGAGAGCTAAAGCATTTCCAGGGCAGCTTGGAGTCACGTCCAGCAGGAAGTTCATAATTGTATAAATTTATGAGTATTTATGGGAGATCAAATTAACAGAAGTATAAAGGTTTATAAAAAAAAAGGTTTAAGATCAGGGCTATTAACTGGCAGCCTGCAGGCCGGTGGCTTCAATCCAGCCCACCAATGACTTCATTAAAAAAAAGTGGTTCTGGGTTCTGTTTATTGTATTTATGATTCAATGCAATCAAATAAACAAATTTAAAAGGTAACAAATCATCATAATACTTGGTTTATTTACATAATGACTTAATCGCTGGATGTCCGGCCCCTGAGAGGTTTAGCTGAATAGCACTGGTTTAGATGAACCACTGTGAAGTTTAGATGATTATAGCAGCTTTAAGAAAATTAATTTGCTTCAGAAACTGGTCTGCTCAATCAATATTTATAAACTAATTTATAAACTTTTACACCAAATACAAAATGGCTGCACTGTCATTGGATTGATTTGACATTAATTTGATTTGGATCTGAACTAAATTTGGACTTGTTCCTGTTGAATCGTGCTGAGATAACTTTAGCTGAGATGTGACTCTATAAAAAAACTAAATTGAATTGTAAAGATAATGGATGGATCTAATCGTACATCAGTTTTGCATTCCATGGTTGTTTTGGCAGAAATGTAATGTTCCTGCTGGAAAGAAGACCCAAAGCGGCACAAGAAGTTCTGCAATTTGGACTTGAAAATATCAACATGTAAAATGAAACTGATGGAGGCGAAAGATTTACACACAAGTGTTCAGATGAACTACTTTATTTTGGAGAATTTACTGGGATTTTATGACGGCAGGAATCTATTTTGGTTTTAGTTGTATTTGAACGTGTCGATGGCTAATCAGTCACGTTGGACATAAACTGTTTTTCAAACTGTGGTCAGTCCAGAAACAGAAAACAGAAGTTATTAACTGCGCATAACTTTTCCACAAACTTCTTTTCCAAATGGCCGAACTCTTCCTGGAATGCAAAAGTGAGGTCCATGATAAAGTGTAAAGTCTTACTTACTGCCATATCAAAGACACAACGAGCATCAGAGATGGCGTGAACAAACACCTGATCATCCTTACAGCAGCTAGAAATGTGACACCTACGAGAGGTAAAACAGTCATGCAGACATCGTTCAAATAAACAACTTTATTTTTTGTTTTGCACATGCAAAAGAGATAGTTAAAATGACCTTGTAGTTTTCTAAGTTTGTATCTTCAGCTCTCACCTGACTCCTACCACCTGCACACCCAGCTCCTTAGCACTCTCCAGCAGGTGCCTGCAGTCCTTGAGGGAGCAGCCGAACGTCATGCTCAGCTCATCGCCAGGGTTGGCAGCATCTGTTGTCACCTGTAGCAGCAGCCTGATACGACACACAACAAACAAACTGTGTTTATTTTGTTTTACTGAGAACAGCAACCAGGGGCAACACAAGGACATTTTCCAGTTTGTCCAGCAGAAAACCTCTGGACAGAATTGGACTTTCTACTAAAATCTTTGGTTGTCTGCTACCTTCACAATAAAGAAAGAAAAAAATCTCAAGAAAAATGTCATTTAATAAGTATATCACATTTTATACAGTACTAAATACAAATGTTCTTAGTCAGCCATCTTGTTGACTTGTTGGAATTTTCAAGCTACTGAGCTGCAGACACTCCAGGCTGTGAATATTTACTGTACGTAAACGTGATTTCTTAGTTTTCTATTATTAAGAAATTTGCAAAAATCTCAACAAAAAAAAAGTTCACAGTCATAATGGGGTATTGTGTGTAGAATTTTGAGGAAAGAGATGAGTTTAATACAATTTAGAATAAAAGTTGGAACAAACCAAAATGTAGAAAATGTGAAGCACAAATTTACTGTAGGTCTCTTCTCAAAGGTTTGCATGTAAACAGGAGTATACTGTGTACGTGGCCTTAGTAAAAGTACACAGTACACTGTGTACAAGACCTTAGTAAAATACTGTGTACATGACCTTAGTAAAAGTACACAGTATTCTGTGTACATGACCTTACATATTTCCGTACATGATGAAAGTCCGTTGCAGTGACTGAGAACTTTATGGTGGAGATGGAGATGGGGAGAGGGCAGTTCGGTAGGCGGGGCACCCTGCTTGTATACTGGTAGGGGAAACTGTTTTCTGAACTCAATGCATGTACATATGTACCAATGGACCAGTGGACTGGTGACGATGAAGGATGCAGATATCACTGGTAGCAGAATTATCAAAGACAAATTGTACGTGTGTGTACCTAAAGTCTCTGTTCCGTCTGAGGGAGCTCTTAAAGCAGGACTTGTGTCAAGTAGAGAATACTTGTAAGTCTTCATTCCAATCATACGGACACAGTAACTTTTCTTTAAACAAAAACATAAACCATAATTATAAAGAGGATGCTGAGATGAACCCTCTTTAAGATGAATGTGATAAATTAAAGTTAACTTCATTTTGATGTTGTTTTTATATGTTTAGAATATCTGTTCTCAGAATGACATTAAAATTAGTTTGGATCTGCACTTTTTAAACATTTTGGTATAGGAATCAGTTTGTTGTTGTGCTGACACTTATTCTGTTACACAATAAGCATTTCACGGGTAAAGGCAACATAAACATAAACCTAAATGGCTGTAATACTGTTTTTTCTATATATTTGTGGGTACTGATCTTTTAGTAGGGGTTGGAGGGATGTTTTTTTAAAAAAAAAACATTATCAATAATTACCAGAGAATTTTAAATAAGACTTTTGTTTGAATTGTCTGTTCTTGATGCAAAACACAAACAGCAGCTCAAAACTCAAACGAGCTCTGGGACAAATCATTAAACACATACTTGGCGTTGGGGTGGCAGCGAGAAATCTTGTGCAGTTCTGCTTTGTTATCACACACCAGGAGGTCAATGCCATTTTTAGCAGCATATTTGATCTGGGAGAGCTGTTTGCAAACACCACTGTAGATGATGTCTTCAGGGGGAATACCATGACTCAGCACCAGCTCAAGTTCAGACTAAAACACAAGGAGACAAAGACAGACCTTAACAAAGTTACTTTATGCGAACAGGTGGACAATTTATTTCTAAATAAGGTACTAATAAGGTTTTTTTTTTAATAAATAAACTGATTCATTTATGCTCTGTGTGTATTCTACATCTTGATGATCATAAATCTTTAGTGTAAAACATAATAAAAGTACCACTGCTTGTTGTGATAGGAGAGGGGCAAAACAGATGTAAAACAAAACCCCACTCTGCTCAGTAGCCAACACTTAATTCAGCTGACAAATTCACTGGTTACAATTCTCTATAATATGTTGGGAAAGAATACCTTGTTGGTGCATGTGAAGCCCGAGCCAAAGGCAGCAAGAACTTCAATCACAGCTGGACTGCTGTTGCATCTGACAGCATAGTAGGGTCGAATTTGACTCATATGAGTTCGCCAGCGAACCTGCTGCCTCATTATGACTCCCAGGTCTGCTACAAAGAATGCGTTTTTCTCAGGCTACGATGGGAAGAAACACACACAAATAAGTAAAAACAAACTAACAAGAAAACAAGCAGACCCAAGTCTTCACCATCACCTCACATTACAAGCCTCAAAAATATGTCCATCTTGCAATATGCTGCATACTGTAATACAATAACCAATGAAATATGATACAGCTGGTTTGAAAACTGTTTTGAAACAGTGTAAAGTCTTCT